GGGGGTATCGCTACTCAGTATATAACGAGACGTGCACGTGTGGGTAACAAGGTTTCGATATGTAGAAAACAAGGTTTAAGTAAATGGGTGTCCGGAGCGATGCGAATATCTTCTCTATCCGTATGTTTTGAACACTTTAGTGAAATCATTTCCAGTACACCGTAGTCATAGGTGGGTCCCAGGCCACCTTCTGAGAACGTATCAGATTTCAATACTGTCCGTATTAGGGAGGACGAGACTGCTCCGGCATTAGATCATCAATTCATTGAATTTTCATTAGGAAAAACGTAAACGACGTAAATTAGACATATCAAGAATGCCCTGCCGCAGCCGTGTCATAGAGGCTGTCACCACAGAGCGACAGCGGCAAGCAGAAAGCAGCTCCCGACACATGCAGACGCAAAAATACTGATGCTTATGGGCACTGCTGACCACGCATATGCAAGAATACCTAGCAGGGCGAGGACGAACCCCAGGCACGCCATAATCACCGACAAATCGAGACAGCGAGATAGTCGCTGCACGGGAAGGTCCAAGCTACCGACACAGCTCCCCGACGTGGACATGGCAGGATGTGCAGACAACGAGCCTGTCTCTACGTGCGGAGGCTGCGCGGGTGCGGCGACGCGAGGCGCAGTGAGGCGCAAACAGCGGATCCAGACGCGCTCAAATACGTCTTCCGCTCTGGGTGCACCCGCGCCCGGTGTTGGCGAGCGATGGAGAGGGCATTCTTTGAGCGTCGATTCGCCCCACGTGGAGAATTGGCGCCCCGAATGGTTTGCGTATTCGACCCTGGGCAGCGTGGACACCGCCTCTGCAGCGAGTAGTTCGTATCGACACAACACAAAGGAGCCGATGAATGCCACGATCGCTGGGTGTATCGGGGCGAAATCAGCCTCTCAATCAGACGTGTGAGGTATCATGCGTACCCGACCCGACGTGGAAGATGAGCGCGCCTGCGAGACTCGCCGTCGTGAGCCGATCCGGCACTGTCCAGCTCTCCTCGGACGACCCCGTGTGTGCTGCGAATGACGACAGCGTGAAAAGCAGCGCGTCTGTCGACGCGAAGAATGTTGCCTGGAGGGTGTGGTAATTCAAGAATACCCAAAATTCTATCGAGCTGACGACTCACGAGAGAGCTTACAAGCTGCAGCCTATGGAGCCAGATTTGGATCACGTCGTTGACCGTCCTCCTGAGCGCTCCGTGGCTCGTGCTACACGTTACTTGCGCCGCGGCTTGGTGGTCCACAGACTATAAATGAGCAGGAGTATCACAAGATGTAGAGGTGAATATACTCACACATGAAAAGAGACCGGAGATACCGTGCTAGAAGAGTGCCCTGGAGCGGGGCGACACGCGCCTTACATATAGTCCCCTACGACGTCGGGTGCGTCTTGCGGCGCCTCTGCGGAGCGGGAGCTGTCCACAAGACCGTCGCAACTGCAATTCTGCGGTCAGATATCAGCACCCATGGTTCCATTTCCGACTAAGCCAAGCTGGCAGTGGTGTGATGCGAGACTCCAACAGCGCCATTCGTCGCGCCGGTTCTGGTAGGACCAGGGTTCGAAGCGGCGATGATCCGAGCAAATAGACTTTGCTTCCAAGCCTCGGGATTGCCGAATACGGGTCGACTCCCTCGTGGGGGCTAAAGCACTCCGAAGAGGCAGCTGAACTGCACGCATAAAGATGCAATAACAAATGGAGTGGGAGCTGGTGAATGGCGCGCCAGTGATTGATCACCACATATATATGCGTCCATTCCTCCGTTACCGACTGCGAGCGTTGATGTGTTCCTCGACGTCATACTATATGACCCATTGGATAGACCTGGACGCCTCTACCGTTGAATGCTTGCGGTGACTATCTTCTCAGGGAGGCCCCGGAGTAGACAAAGTTTAAATATGTTGCACTTCAATGAAGAGGTGTTTGGGGATGTAACATGGGCTATTCATGAGGTTTGTATCATGGAAAGTGACAAGATGACTCCTTAATGATTCACATACCCTGCCAACAGTTTTCAATCGTTCCTATAGACCCTCGTTGGATCGTTGCGATAATTCTCTGCAACAGGGAGTGCTTCTCTGCTGCGACTCGTCTAGTATATCAGCGAAAATATGAACGGCACCAATACTTACTCGAAGGGTAGTACCGGCGCGCCAGGCGCAACACCTCACGCATATCTACTTATTGCCTTCGGCCTTCCGTCTACTAAGACTCTCGGTACGCGTCGTATCCAGACAAGCTGGAAATGCTGATAGCAAGCCAGAAGGTTCGAGGTCGCGCCAGATACGCCGCTCGGTGCTCGGAATTGAGGTCCAGAGCGCTGTAATGGCGGATGACGGCTTCGGTGCGGCCGCAAGATCAATTCGACGACGACTAGGAAAAAAACGACAAGTCTGGTGAGTGAGATGAATTCAGGCCTTCCCCGTGAGCTGATCAAACGAAATGACACGGTCATGACGTATCAGCAGATAGTCAGCAAACAAAATCTACGAATTTTCGAGTGGAACACAGAAAATGTGTAGTGCATTGGTGGAGCTGCAACATGGTAAGTTCAAACTGAGGTCAAAGAGATGCTGTCTTCAGTCTAATATAATGCCTTCACTCCGTGTGTACCACATTGGAGATGTATCGATTCCGAGAATATTCTGGACTAGAGCAATGACTACATTGCGATTCCGAGAAAGCTGGACAGAGATTTTCGTCCTATTGCTCCCCAGTGCCAGAAACATCTCCTCCACGAGCCCATCAGTGGGAAGTTAAGCAGTCTGGATCGTACACTCAGCGAGCTTGTGAACGCGTCTTTCGATATCCGCCATCGCTTTGGGTTGAACATTATCTCTGCCCTCTCGTATTGACTTGGCCGAGCTTGTGTTTGAGAGCGTACCCTGTCAGAAGAACTCCAGTGAGGAAAACCTGAAAACATGGTAGGCACATCCTGGGAGTGTAGGGGAGGTGCCACAACACTGGGTTTAGGCGGCATGCATTGACGGCTAGGGCGATTTCTGTACTCTGTGGCTGTATTGCAGAACGAAGGTGTCAGCGGTTCAGTCGTAGACGTATTAAAATTATGAGGGGTTATAAGGGAGTTCAACAATGCACTGACATGACTGTAAGTTTCAAGTGATGGGATGATGGAGGTAAACCTAGGGCTCACGCTGACGCCAAGCTCGAAGTAGATGCGGACTTGGGTAAAAGCCAGAGGCACAGCGATACATTCTGGATTAGACTCAGACAACCTCCCACCTCCGCTCATAGCACAGAAAGACGCATCAGCTTATGGTCGACCACAGTTAATTGCATCAAGGAGATCGGACATCGTAACTTGAAAGCTGCATACATCCTCGAGTAAATCCACCCTTTTCCGGAGCAGTGGTGTGGAAGCGTTAGATAATTCCCGAGCCTGTATCTACTGACAGCAAGGGTCGTACGAATGTACGCCGTGCTTAGTGTAGGTTGCGCAATCTCGAACTAGTAACCCACAATTACCATTGAAATACTTGCTATTCTCGTGCTTCAGTAACTTTGTCAGCTCGCCATCTATTCCGGATTGGACCTCATGGCAGCCATTGAAGTGTCTCCCATGGCCTTGTGAGTTCAACAGGCAAACGACCACTAGGAACAGCGCTCTTGCGAGGACCGGAAAGAAGAGCAGATTTTGCCACGCGTGGACCACACGACGAGAGCGAGGCTCCGTTTTCCTCTATTGCGTGCTGGGGATAGTTGTTTGCGCAGTGACAAACGTGCCAGCGTCGCTCTCACCACATCGCAAGGATCGCCAGCGCAGTGGATGATGCAGAGCGGGAGATGGAGCGAATACATATGGCTAGCTGGGAGTATCCGGGGTTGCCTCAAGGCTGCCATCCGATAACACGCCTGACTCGTCTGATGCGGCAAGCAACTCTCGCGCAACGTGGGTGCCGCCACCTAGCGGCGTGCATCGACATGGCGAAAGGTACTAATCTCCCTCCATCCTCGCACTTTCCTCCCCAATCCACACACAGTCCACTGCGCCGCCCTACCTTTTCAACCAGCCCGATTAAACATCCCCCCAGACGATAATGGAATCCGTGAGTGTTCTCGTCCTGCGTGTATCCACGAGCACGGACGCCTGACCATGAGCGTAGATGATGGACATCGATTCGCATCTCACCCAGCTGCTTGGGAACATGACGCTCGACAGCCGGTGGCACAAAACCGTCTTTGTGAGTTGCTTCTCTCGCTCGCGCACTCGCTCGCCATGCTGACAGTCGGCGGCACCATGGAGAAAGGAAAGCGAAAGGCCGGACCTGAGATCACCAACACCGGAGCACGACGCCCTCATGTCAGACTCGTCCGATACCGAAGACCCGACCTATCAGGTACGCCCCGCTCGCTCACTCGAGAGTACGCCCTTTGTGTCTGACTAGCCCGCTCGCCTGCCCAGCGCCCAAGCACATTGGCGTCCTCAAGCTCCATCGAGACCGCAAGCGCGCCGCCGCCCTGCGCCTGCGCCCTAGTCCAAGCGCTCCGCGGCCTGGTCCACGCAGGCCAGTACCCCACCACCGGCGGGGAGTACCTCGAGGCCATCTTCACGCACCGTGAGGCGTTCGCGGCGTTTCCGCAGGGCCACCGGGCGTGTGCCGTAGAGTTCAGCAACTTGGCCACAGACCTTGAGCGGCGCGAGATGAGGGCAGATAGAGACGGCGATGGGGAGGCGGCGGCGGCGTTTAGGCATGAAGCGTGGGTGCTGTGGTCCAGCATTCAGTCGAATTCGTAGATCTAGGTAAATGTGGTGTGGAGAACGCGTTGCTTACTGTCTCTGAGAGACCGTTGTACTCATAAAGATGTTCATATTAGTATCAACCATTTACAATTTATAAGTGATGTCATTACTTGTAAATCTACGCGCAGCATTTTTGGTTTTTTCATGACACTCACGACTTGAGCGTAACAAATCATCTGTGGTAGGGTTTGCCTCTCGAATATGTTGATTCGGAGGGCATCCGATGCATACTTGATAGTAGATGACTAGATGCAGAACATGGCAAAGAATACTACCATGTACTCCGTACAGATTGATATTCGATTTGTGTGGTACACTTTTTGAACCCCAGATAAAGTGATACTCGAGCTCTCAGACACCGAACAGTTGCAAACAATCCTGCTCACTCGGAACCCGCGTTCGACGTACAGAGACGACAAGATGTGTGAGGATATGACGTCGAGTCATGAGGATCTGACTGTTTCGAAGTCTGCGATGCATGAGATGGCTACATCTTGCCTTGTTGCGTAAGAGCCCCTTTCCACTCCTTTTACTTACGTACTGCACACGAACGCATGCGTACCTGGATATCCAACTTAACTTCGCACAGTTTCGGGTGATCAGCGGTAGCACAGCCACTCAGACACTCACCATCTTGGTGTGGAAGTGTGTATCAACATGTGTGGGGCAGAATCCGCGCTCCGGCATTCGAGTGAGATGAGGCTCGAGATCCGGATATCCCAGAACGCATTACATCACATACCAAGAAGTTACGTACAATGAAGCGTGAAGGGATGAGACAATGCGAGAGGTGAAGCATCTGATCTTCGTGCGCCGTGGGCAGCGAGATATCCGCCCGGCACCAAACGTCCAGCTTTCGAGATATGGACTCTTTTGAATCAGAACAACAACAGCGGAAGCAGACTATAACGGGCGGTCAAGGCACAATAAGTGAAAGAGTGGGGGGGGGCAGTAGGATTCGTGCAAAAATGATCAGCTCAGGCTCTGGTGTTGCCTCGAGGCAGTCGTCAATGATCCGATAACGGGCATGACTCGGCTGATAGGGCAAATACCGTAACTGTGCAGAGAGCACGGGCATGGCCAGACGTACTACATAGCCTTGATCGCCGCAGCCGTTCCTCTGCTCGCGCTGAATTTCGCGCGTCACAAAGACTTGACGAACTGCCTCGAACAAAACCAAGATTTGACAGCTGCATTTTAGCACAGAATGGAGACTGTGAGTGAAAAACGCAGTGGAGAATGCAGGGATATTGACCAATGGAAGCAGGTAACGGATGTCGAAGTGCATCTCATCCAACTCCTCGGGAGCATGAGGCTGGAAGGAGGATGGGACAAGCCCAGCTCGGTGAGTTCCCCAACAAGCATCAAAATCTCGACATCAATCAATGGCACTGCGGAGAAGAACAGCCCAAGGATAGACGGAGGTTCACCACCACAAGATAGTGATACAATCATGTCCAACTCCATCGATACAGAGGACCTCCACTACCAGGTATGCTCGCAGCACAAACCAGCCAACGTACCTCCCATTCTGAACCACAATGGCAGCACCCGCACGGACATCCAGCCGCGTCTGTCAACGAGAACGAAAATGCGCGACCACCCTGCGGCTGTGCACTCGTACAAGCTCTGCGTGGGCTCATCCGCGCAGGCACATATCCCGCCACGAGCGGAGAGTACCTTGAAGCGATATTCACGCACCGGGAGGCATTTTATGCGTTTCCGCAGGGCCACCGGACGTGTGCGATTGGATTCAGCGACCTGGCGGTGGACCTGGAGCGGCGACAGTATGTTGTGAAAGCAGATGTGGACGAAGTGGCTGCGACGGCGTTCAGACACGAAGCGTGGGTCATCGCAAGCAGCAGTAGGTGGTAAATTACGGGTACGATATACGCTGTGTAAATTATAATGCATGTGCGAATACACAGTGAGGGTGCGAGCTGCAAGCGAGCGCGCGCACGAGAGCTCCATGGGCGCTTATTATCGACAGTCGAATCACATGGGCAGCCGCTCATATGCTCTTCCGTTCAAGCTCTCTTCTCTCTTCTTTCTTCCTTTGTAGAAGAGACGGGCCCTGGTAGGAGAGACGGAGGCACATAGTCTACACTGGCAATGATCAGCGACTTGATTCTAAATTCTTCCGCTTCGAGCATGCCAAGATCCGTGGACAGCTCAGTGGACCGTACTCAGCGGGAAGACTCACACGACCGTATGCAAGCACAACGACTCTTTTACTTCCTTGGAGCCTGAGTGAGAGCGGGCGAAGTGAGTCATGTTGTCAAATTTGTGGCAAAATATCGCCGCTCGTACTCACAGTATAGTGTCTGATTTATCTTAGGATACCCAGTCTGGTCATATGCGGTGGCTGCTAGAGCGCATAGCAATGTGGAATCTGCGGGTGATGCCCTGTACACTTGGCATCACCCAGTCGGCGACTGTCCGATTTAGAAATTGCTGCATCTCGCGTCCTAGCTGTACTCGTGTCACCGTGAGTGTATTGACTGGAGATGTAGTTAGACATCGCCACGGAGGAGTCGGACTGATGGTCAGTGGAGTCGCCGTATTTGGATGTCTTAGACGCAAGCAGTACGGTACAAGCTTATAGCGCGGTTCTCGAGCGGCTGTCTCCCACCTTATATGCGCCGGCACAGTAATGTCGTAGAAGATCCCCCTTGCCCTCAATGGCTGGACAATTTAAAGGTAAGCCTCTGTCAGAAACTTCTCGGACTGCAATGGTGAACGGCTTACTGTTCATGAACAGGCAAACGCCTCTGTGAGGCCGCCCCCATGTTCGATGAACCTCGACCAATCCTTCGCTCGATGCCCTCGGGCCACCTTCTACTCTTGGAGCCTGGAGGGTACATGCAGAAAAGCCCGTTGCCCATGGGAGACGGTCATAGTGAGCGCAGTCAATTCTTCGAAGCTGAAAAGCCACGACAATGTAAGTATATGTGCGCATTGCTGTCTTTGCTATTGACTACTCACGCTCCGTGATCAGGGACTCAAACCGACCAGGACGAGACTGATGCAGAGACAAAGAGGAGGATCATGAAGGACCTTGTCAATTCGTGGATGGACCGACTCCAGCTGATCAGTGTGATCGTGCGTAGATCCCGCGTACGGTCTACTCGTAATCCTGACGCATGTTTCCACTAGACTACGTTCTTTGCTGCAACCGAAGCACAACTTCTTGGATTCGCTACGCCGGATGTGGGCGAACATACATCGCTCATACAGCACGCTGCCACGACCATCCTCGCGGGTGCGCTCGTCGTGCACCTCTTTGCAGGTAAGCCATACGCATAGTTTACACAACTCGCCCAGGTTGACTCCCACCTCTAGCCATCCTCTCTTTCCTCGCTGCGTTTTTCCTGATTCGCTACCGCCTTAAGGAAGCCAAACGCGCGGAGGACGTGATCGAGAGTGGGCCTCCACAGCCTACACCTCATACCTCTCCCTTCGCGACGCCGCCCCAACCACCGGCCAAGTTGCAGACCCAGTCAACGAACGCGCCCGCCGGCATCTGGTCAACAAGCCCCCATCTCGAGCAGGTCGGGCCTTTCAGCCGCAGTAAACCGCCCACGTCTCTGCTCGAGCACTGCCATTCACTCTGCATGTGGCTCGCCGCGGTCGGCTTCGTGCTCGCGCTCGCTGGCGTGTTGTGTTACTCGTGGTCGCGTTTGCCACGGAGCGCAAGCATATTGTCGTCGGTCTGTATGGGAGTGTGCATCGTTCTGGGTATCGGGGCCGTTTTCATACAGTTCTAATGGTTGTGGACGCTGGAGGAAAACTCATGTATGACCACTCGGATATTTGTACATAAACTATGCCTCGGATACTTCTGTACTGCATTCATATACATTAATACTTACTATAGGCGAATATGAATATACCTCACTCCCTGGGGGAGTTGCGATATGCATTACATCTCTGCATAAAGTGCTTCGCTTGCATAGCGAGTGCATCTGACGCCGTGATCTTGCAGTACATGTATACAACTACCTCGAATAGCATAGATGCAAGCATCGGAGAAAGGTAACATTGACCAGGTAGATGTTTTATAATCATGGTTCGTAAGAAGCCGTAGCGATGTGTGGCGTAAATCGAACAAGCCTACTAAAGACTCACAGCAACCCACAGTTGTGTCTCTGATCTACTTTTTGTCGATAGTTGATCAAACGAGTGCAGGGTCACCACAAGTGTTTGAAGTCTGCTATGCCGTGTCTGCTCGGCCCACCTTCGTGGGGACCGCGCCGATTAGATAGGTTGATCAGCAAATGCGGGGATATTGCCATTCGTTTGAATGAACAGAACATCCCACCAGCAGTGCCATGCCGCTTTGAACCATCATGGTATACTTACTGTAGACGCAGCTTATAGTCCCGTCCGAGTGATGATCGATTGATCGATGAACCCCGGACTAGATTAGTTTATGTGTAGCTGTTGAGTACTTGAGTCCTGGCGCTGGATAATTGCAGTAGACCGGTAACCATCTCCTATCTGACGAAGTAGCCAAAAAATAATGAAATTGTAGCGAATTTGTTACTGGACAGTAGTCAGAGAGAAAAAAAGAGGAGGTGGCAAGCAAACTGAGATTACCAATGGTAGTGATGGTTCAATCACCGTGGGCAATTGATGGAGTTCGGCGGCAGCCACTTATTGAACGCGCCACGATTCGACGGTCACGGTGTGGCGTACACCCCAGGGTGGCATAAAAAGCTGAATAGTATCGCCGCTTGCAATCATCCAAGTATCTTCCTACTATCGTCTAGTATTCACACTGAAAAATAGCCACAATGGATTCTCCCAGTGGATTGTTGGATCTGTCTCTCGTACAGGACTTGTCCGTTACCGAGAATCGGGGCTTTGCCGCAATAAATCCCAAGCTTATTCCTCTACTCACGATGCACGATGCATCGGCTATTTCTACGGATTCGGACGCGGCCGCATACTTGTTGACTACTATTGCGATTTATAGTACCAGACTCGACCCGCAGTTGAAAAATCCAGAGGTGTGCGAACAACTGTGCCAACACTCAGATTTGAGGGAGATATTGGCCAATGCATTGAAGACACAAGATTTTTCTACGGTGCTCCGTCTCAGTATGTAACTCGTTTTCTTGGTCATTTCACGTGTGCGGTAACTGTATATATGCAGAGATACTTCGACGTCCTGAGAGCAAAAAGCTCGTGGCAACAAACGTAAATGAACTTCTCGTAGAATCTCAGAGTAAGCTAGACCGTACTATCCACCCCATAAGAGGTAATACTCACCGTGTTCTAAACCGTCAATTTTCAGAACGCGGTCAGTCCCGGGTGTAAAATGCCTTAGAATATGAGCTGACTTGCTTTGTTAGCCGTGAGGGCCGCATGGGAAATGCCATT